GGTGTTTTATGTTCACTAGTATTGCTGTCAGGTACCAGCGGGGTCACATGTTTACGTTTAGCGTTGTATTTGTAAGACGTCTGTTTAGTAAGCTAGCTTTCAGAAATCATGGGTCAGGTACTTATTCCTTCACATAAGCGTGTTATATAAAATAAGAAGCTTTCTAGTCACTAATACGTTTGAATTGGTTCTGCTAACGCCTAGCGCCAAAACAAACTGTACAAAGCGGACCCAGAGAACAGACAATGGTCGTTATTTAGCCTTTTTTTGTGTTTCGAAGTATATGTGGTGGAGTGCTAATGAAGTTTAAAAGCACCCTCACAGTGCAGAGTTAACACCCAGGAACTTAAGGAGCGATATTTTTTATCTGCTGGGTTTAAAGGTCTATCATTCGTTGGAGCAAAGTCTTGTTCTCTATGACGTCCACCAGCCATTTCTCTCTAAACCTGGTCGTCCCCGGTGTGTGCACCAGTTTGTTTGACTCCACTATGAAGATGACTTCCACTGGTAGAGTTTGAGGTTTAACCTTCGATACATCCACGACGAAGTAGACGCTAGCTGTCCCCCGAATTGGCTTCCTCGGTGTTGGGGTGCTGAATCGGGCCCGGTAGTGGTGGAAGGTCCGGTGCTCCTCCTCGGTTGAGCAGACAAAGTCCACACTGTACAGCCAGCAAGAGGGGAGCTCCCACGTTTTAATGTAAGCCCCAATCTGCTTTTCCCCGACATTCACTGTGAAGTCCTTGCAGGCAGCCCATGGGATATCATCCATCTCGGCCTTCTCAGTGCGGTGGTGTCGGTCCAGCAGGGTTTTTACAAGCTGAACTGACTCTGTTGTTAGGTTCATTCTTGCCCCTCTTTTTAACTGTATCTTGATGAAAGTTGCGGTCATTTGTTTTGTATGTTGGACTGTTTCTATAGTTACCGGTCAGACGGCGGCCTCTGTTGGCCAAATTTACAATTGCAAGCAAGTTAACCAATATCGCCCTGAGCTTCTGTTTGAATGTTTTTGTTTGTTTTCTGATTTTACCAAGCTGTTCCGAATTAGTTTGAACTGATAAATAAAAGAAAAGCACTATATTTGAACTGAGAACAATTTTTTAAAGTATTTCCTCATATGGTCCCTATAAGGTTTATTTTACAGCATAAAACAAAGTCACTGATTTACAGTGTTTAAAACACTTTAATAAGCAGAATGAAATCTAAAGTGCAAAAAAGCCCAAATTTAAGGTTTCCATATGAGGACACAGGGTCTCTGGCTGATATACAAGTGTTACTCTTTATGTAATTTCCTTTTTATCTCTGTTTTTATCTTTACAGGTAGTGTGTTGCAAGCAGCAAACAATAAACTCATGGCTGAAAGCCTCCCAGAATGCTGCTGAATTTGCCAGAAGCTATCGCCTCATCTGTTTGCTTGAGGAAAGTATTTCTCTCCCGCCATCCCCAGTGAAACAGGAGACGTATGTCACGGATTAGGATCACACTTGACAGTGTTACCAAGGCAGTAGGTGGCACAGACATCATCTCCAAGTTCTCCCGGCTCAAGGCGGGGGGCGGCGGTGGCACAGCTGAGAGCACCCACGCAGAAAAGTCTCGGGTAAAAGCCGAGACAGTAGCCTCAAAGGCCAC